TAGGATAGTGTTGGAGAAGGCAAATTGTGTGTGTGTGTGAGAGGTCACCCTTGTGTAATCCCTGCTTTAATGCATCAACTGAGTGATGGGACTTGGTTAATATTTAATGTTGAAGAAGTTCCTAATGGATGAATAAATCAACCTTCATCTTTACCTGGAGTTGACAGATTTCTGCATTCTGAACCCAGAAGCTACACACACACACACACACACACACACACACACACACACAAATGACAGCACGTTTTTTGTTTCTTTCCTGTCTTTCAGCTTCGATGCTTCCTTACCATGACATGCCTCTTGATGAGATGCTGCTGTGACAACATGCACCCCAGAGAGAGCAGAAGGGGCAAGAGGATCGATACATAACCGGTCGCATAAATGATCAGGCCAATCAAAACTTCGCAGTGAACAGCGACTACAAGCAGACATAAATACTCTCTCTGCCTTTTCTGCGGTTGCTGCTACTGATGCTGCTATGCATTTACTGAGGACCACCAGAAAAAACGAATGTCATTGTTCAGATGGGCGAAGATTTGTCCCTGCATTGCCAAAAGGAACAGAAGAAAATAAAACAACAGAGAATCTGCGGTTGCCAATTATAAAGCCCTACCTCTTTGGAAAGACAGAGCCCTTATGGATAAATTAAGTTATATATCAAGAGTAGTTGTTCCTGCTAACTGTCTCTTCGCTGTCACACCTGTAAGCATTTGAAAATTAAAATGTGTGAAAACGCAGTTTTAGGTAATGGTAACTACTTTTACAAAGTAATTGTGGATCTGGAATTGAAGCACAAAGTTTACTTTAACCTCTCAACATCTGTTAGATTACCAGTGACAAGTTTGCGTTAGTATTAGGTTTATGTCTACTTTTTATATTGAATTGTAACCAATTGAAAATCTTAAAACTGTTAGACCAACATGCATGTAAAAGAACTGATTTGAAAAGCAACATTTTCTAGTTTATGAAACTATGCTTGTTTAGCATGTGGCTTAAACTTAATTATAACCTTTTCCTCATTTGGTTCACCTGGTGGATGTTAGGAGGTTAACATTTTTTGTGGATAAATTTGATAGTTTTGGCCATAATTGTCAGAAATTATATTTCTATTCACTACAGAATTTCTCAAGATGTAAGACAAGAAACTAATTTGACAATTGGCAGTCACAAAGGATGGGACAAGCCACTTTCAATTTTGAGTTTTAGCTAGTTGTTACTACATACATCTACTGAGGCATGACCACAGTGTGCAGTATTAGAGCCAACCATGTACAGGCCCTGACTACAAAATATATAGAAAAACATATGTACCTATAATTATATACACACATGTAATGAAGAATACACATAAAACACTAAAAATTCATATCACTACAAAGAAGTAATAAAAGCAAATATGGATTAAAAACATACATCATCATAACATCAACACACAGGTGATGGGGAACAAATATGGTCTCTGGTAGGGGCCCCAAAATGTGATTGTAAACATGCTTTTGTTCCTACACAATGAGTATTAAATATATATATACACACGCGCGCACACACACACAGTCATGTGTTTAACTCTTGCAGTAAGTTACATAAATTTCCTGTGGATTTGCTCTAAATGTACCCATTCTGCCTTTCCTTTCCTTTTGTTACAATTGTGGATGCATATATTAAATACATATATGTTTTAGATAATGAGGTCAGTGAATGAACAAATATCTCAAAACGTCTTGATGCAATCATCGAGGTAAGTAAATCTCCAAAAGTTGATTCTGTTCATCTGGACGCAGCGTTTTGTGGGAGAAACGTTTCGTCACTCATCCAGGTGACTTCTTCAGTCTCAGCTGACTGCAGGTTTCCCCAATCTTAACCCAGGAACGCTGGTTAGAGCGCGGAGTCAAGGAAGCCATTTACGTGAAAAGGGAAAGACCATCTCTGAATCGAGGAGCTTTCGCCATCTTACAATACTATGATTGCAGCCATTCCCCAACTCTCTGTGAATGGTACTCATGGCCATTGATCAGTGGTCTTTGATCAGTGGGTTTTGGTCAGTGGGTTTTGGTCAGTGGGTTTTGGTCAGTGGTTGTTGATCAATGGTCATGAGAATTTGCATAATTAAGATTAAGGAGCTGACTTCCCAGCCCATTGTTCCTTCAGTGGGCTGGTTTCAGTCATTATGCAAATGTACTGTTTATAAGATTGGGGAAACCTGCAGTCAGCTGAGACTGAAGAAGTCACTTGGATGAGTGACGAAACGTTTCTGCCACAAAACGCTACGTCCAGATGAACAGAATCAACTTTTGGAGAAATATCTCAAAAGCTCAGTGTTCAGAATGAATTTTTTTTTTTTAAACTTTCACTTTTTCTCTACTTCTGGCCACCACAGGTGCCATTCAAACTCATTTCTCTAAAGGAATACAATCTTTAAAAGGTTTTAAGGCCCCATTCACACACGCCCAGAGAACGTTAGGAAGCCGCTGGCAATCACCGGTCGATAGGAAAAGACGTGTTTTCCTAACCAGTTGGTGAGCGGTTGTGGAAGTTGCTGATTGTTGCTAGCCCTAGAGACTGGCCAGTGACCTTGTGGCAACCATTACCCATAGTTTTCATGGAAGCTGCTGACTTGTCTGCAAAAACTCACCAACTACTTGTTCATCTGTAGTGAAACTGTGAAAAAAGCAGCTCAAACTGGAAACACAAACCATTTATCTTCAAATATAAAAGATGGATGTAGGTCTTGGTTTCTAAAGTCCCATCTTGAAGCGTCAAGGTAAAGAGTTTTGCGATTGCCATCTTAGTATTCTGAAACCACATTTGAAAAGATAGACAAGTCTTATTTTGAAACCCCATATCAATTCAATTCAATTTTATTTATACAGCGCCAAATCACAAAAGTGCTCAAGGGAATTTATATTGTAAGGTAGACCCTACAATAATACCTACAGAGAAAAACCCAACAATCAAATGACCCCCTATGAGCAAGGACTTTTGTGACAGTGGGAAGGAAAACTCCCTTTGAACAGGAAGAAACCTCCGGCAGAACCAGGCCCACGGAGGGGCGGGGCCATCTGCCGCGACTGGTTGGGGAGAGAGAAGGAAAACAGGATAAATCATTCAGCATACCCCAAATAATTCTCTTCCCTAAAACACAGCATGACTAAGATTTACCAAATTTACTTATTTTATTTATTTTTAGTGTGACCCCAAAATGAGCGGAAAAGCCTTTACAGCAGAAAAGCCTTTAAAAATCGGAGGGCTGTAGACTTTCGAAGGAGACTATGTCTTTTTTAACCACAGGTTTGGCTCTATGGTGGACATTAAAAAGAAATGCAGGTTTAGGCACTTGCATGCTGGCTTCACCTTTCATACCCAGCACCTACATCCATCTTTTATACTGTCAAAAAAATTGTTCAAAAAATATGGAGCTGGCGATTAGCATGATAGGTCACTTTCAACCATAACCACTACTAGCCTAATCCTGACCTACAACAAACGTTAACCTAAATTTTGTCTTTCCCTTGTTTTTTCACGTCATTCACTGGTGCAAACAAAATTATACCTCTGCAAAATGTTATACAAGTACAGTAATTGTTACAAAATTCATCTTGTAATAGATTTTTAATTTAAAAAATCCACATCAAATTCCAGATTCCTCTTACTATATTTGGAAGTATTGTTGAATTTTTGTGAAATAAAGTTCTTGCTTAATAATGAGACATTTATTTAAAGGGTTACTGTGAGAATAGGATGTCAGGGATCAAGGGGATATATGTTTAAATATTTTCTTGTTTAGTTTCTGCTCCTTATTCAGCTTTGTGTCAAGATGTGTTCATATACCAACAACATCATGTACTCTAAACCTTGTGTCAACATCAAATCATATATGTAGCTGTGTGTGCTTTTCGTTTTCCACACCTCTGGGTTTTATGGATAACAGGCTTGAGCAACGTTTTCTCATTGGATGGGAAGAAACTCAGGCATGAAAATTACTACTATCAGACACTGTTTTCAGTTAAAACACTAGAAAAATGTGTCAACTTAAAAATTTAACTGGTATGTTTTCTTAGCTTTAAAGACATTTTAAGACTTTTAGACTTTTCAGATGTCAGTTAACCACAGGATATACTGATATCAGTTCCCCCCCCCAAAAAAAAATTGTGAAGGGATTAACTACTATGGGTTGGTAAATATAAAAGCCAAGCTTTGTTTATTATATCAATTTTTAAAGTTGTTGGGGTTTCAATGTCACTTGCTCCTTGTCCCCTTTCCCCATTTTATTACACGTCCTTTTTTGGAAGGACACACTAAAGAACAGATTATAGAATTTAGAATAATGCAGCCATTCTTTACTGTTCTTAACTGTTCACTGTTCCGTTAGCAATTTCATAGTAGCATCTTGTAGATCCTAGCACTTAACACATATGTTCCAGACTGTACTGATTTAAGTACAGACTCTCTCGCCCCCAATGATACCTTACTTTATTTATAAACTCTGTTTTTGCTCAACATGAAATAGAAAGCAATTGAAACTATTTGAAGTTTTTACCACTACTTTCAATTTGCCCATTGGTAGCTAAAATGCACACAATCAAAGGTTTCAGAGTACCAGAAATGCTTCTGATTTCACTTTAGAGCAGAACTGAACCATTGTTTTCTACTGTTTGCTTCTCACTATCTGTTTTCTTGTTACTGCTCAGATGTGTGGAAAACATTTTACTTGGTGCATACCTAATGACTCACAGTAATATCGACATACAGACATCCACACACATACAGTTATCCAAACTCTTTTCTGTATAACCTCTTCACCCTGAGTGTCTAGATTTGTTGAAAGGTTAACAAGGCAGAAAATACTACTATATTATCAAAGACCTTGTTTGTTTTTAAAAAGTCAAGAGTAGTAAATCTACTTAGTTTTATAAATATATAGGTTATTATTTTTGACTTCTTGGTATTATAAAACTACTTATTCTATTCAGAGACATATGTAAAAGCTAATAAAGTGACTTTATGTAAAAATGGCTCAGTTGAGTTAGAATTGGTGGATTCACACACACACACACACACACACACACACACACACACACACGATGAAGCAACTAAAAGCCAATTGAAGTATAGAGTATAGAGTTGTAAACAACTATTGGATTAATGGTTGAGTAATCACTGCCAATTTTATGGACAACCATCTTTTTCAGGTGGTGAGTAAAGGTTGAGTAATAATACCCACAAATGAGATCTCATTCTATTTAGAACAGGCCATTCCTAAGCTACAGACACTGAGTGGTAAGCTCAACTGCGTTGATTCATTCTGAGGACAAAATGCAAACTTGGAGCAGGAAAAGCCTTTTCCAGCCAAGCGTCCAAAAGTAACATGCTGCTTTGTTTCAGTAGATGCTACATATAGCAAATTTTGTAGGAGCACAATT